TTTCTTACAAAGTGTAGAAGATACTTTGTCGGGTACAATTGTATCGAGGACAAAATAATATCATCTTAGTTTTTTTTGAAGAATTTAGTATACACGGTACCGTTTTTCGAAATGATTTCTCTTTTGATATTCTTCACTGGAAGAATTAGTAGCAGATTGTGTCTGATAAAATGACTAGAAAAATACTTGTTCACTTTTTGCAATATTTAGTTGATTTTATATCATATTCTGGCTGTTATTCCATCCACAAGCAAGATTGATTGACAATAGAAAAATATTGAGCTTCTAAAAAATAACTATTCGATTAGCTCATATTCCACACCGTGGTGTGTCATAGTGTTACATTGAAGATGGACTATAATTTTTTTAATTCGAAGTTGTGTCTTCTTACCAGCGACAAATATTGCGGTTTACATGAACTTGTTACAGCCTTAGACGTGATCGAGCTCTAGTTCTCGTAAAACATGGCATAGCAAGCTTTGTGTGCACACAAAACATCCTTAGAGGTGATCTACTGTATACCTTATTTCCATTTAATTTGTAAATTTATATATGGTATGTATTTTTTTTTTCCGACGCATCTATGCAATAGTTACAAAATTAATACTTGGGATTTTACAAACAATAATCCATAGATATTGATGTTAAAAGTCTGCCTTAAGTCTCTCTCTTTTTTCTTGTTTTTAGTTCATTTTCTTGTTCTGTTTTGGAATTTGACTTTGTTTTAAGAACCCCCATTTACTGTGCCTAGCAAACTTATTGAATTAATTGCAGCAAACAAATCAAATTAGATAATGTTTTGCTGAAATTGGTGTAACTTTTCATATAAGTTCACAATACTATTTCTGTACATCTCCTTCCCAATGAAAAAAATAAAAAATAAAATTGTCCTGCTAAAAAGAAAAAAGATGGTATACAAATCACAAAAATCAGCTCATGCGAGAGGTTAGATCGATGAATAAATCCTCACTGCACGGAATTGTAAGGCCTCCCATTGGATGGTAAAACCCGAATTCTTCTTCAGCTTGGAGAAGAAGTTCTTGAAATAAACGATGGTTCAAATGCGAAACTGGGATAACAAATCTCTTCTTCTCGTTTTCCCCAACATAAACAGCAAAATGTCCTTTTGGAACTTCAGCCGATCTTTTTTCGCTGGATAAAGATCGTCTCAACATTTTACGGATGGCCATTTTTACGTAGACAATAACTAAATAAAAAATCCCTTGTGAGTTGTGAGTATAAATGAGAAGTTCTCTTGAAAATACAGTGAGAATGAATTTGCTTGGTGTAGTTCAAAAAAAAATACGAGCGGTATATTTATAGAGGTTTGTTGAAAGATAATATGCATGGAAGAGCCATGAGGAATCACATGCACTTGTCTTTAGGACTTGATATAGAACTTAAGGCATAATCAACAATTTGTGTGATGGAAAAACATTGTATCCTACCAACTATAGCAACATAGCCCTCGAACGACCCTACTGCGATAAACGAAACATAAATATAATTTTCGGTGACCGGACGAAAACCGTATAAATCGTAACCAAGAAAAATCAACTAGAAAACGAGAATTCACATGTATTTGTCCTCCGATTATCAAATATGATCTGTCCTAAAACAAATGGATACTGGTATGCAAGGTTCGTTTTTGCTGTTTGCTACACTAGTAAGGTGCACGTGCCCCGCACGTGAACCATATAATTTGTCTAATTGAATTTGAATATGTCATTAAGTTGATTTGACAAAATTATGAACTGATATACATTTAAGTTAAAGATACGTGTCTACACACAAACACACGCACATGCACACACAATATATATATATATATATATATATA